TCTTGTTTTATTCAGGAATACTTAGTAGTTAGAAGGGATTTATTCAGTTTGTTAATAGTTTAGTTAATTTGTTCACTGTTAAGAGTTTGATAAATAAATTGTTACTTGTTGATTCTAAAGTGAGAGTCAGGGGTTTATTTTATTTAACCACTCCTCTATAACAGACTGGGGGCTGTTTTAACAGATTAGAGGGTGAGGCACGGCTCTCTGGGTGTTTTGGTTTTAGTTATCAGAGGGGGAGGGGGGTCGACCTCTACTTTATAACACTAATCGGCGGAATGCCATTTCAGGCGTAGGAAAGCTGCATCAGTATTTTTTTTATTGTGAATAGGCAGGCCAACAGTTATTTCGCTGTCTAGGTCCAGTAACACCATTTCCTAGCAAGGCCACCTCCCCAACTAACACACAATTATTCCTCTTTGTTCATTCAAGGGATTTGAGACTGATAGCTAAGCCAGCATTTGTCCCTCAGTCCTAATTATTCTTGAGTGGTGGGTGATTAGCCACCTTCTTGAATTGTTCCAGTCCATCTGGTAGTAGGTGCCACCAGGAATACTGTGAAGCACTGATTTCCCTTCACTTCACACAATCTAGTTTACTACATTCACTGTTCATAATGCGGTCTCCTCTACATTGGGGGAACAAAGTGTTGACTGGGTGACTGCTTCACAGAACACCCCCGTCGAGTCTGCAAAAAAGACCCTGAGTTTCCAGTTATAGTACGAACTGCAGATGCTGGAGAATCTGAGATAACAAGGTGTAGAGCTGGATGAACACAGCAGGCCAAGCAGCATCAGAGGAGCAGGAAGGCTGACGTTTCAGGCCTAGACCCTTCTTCAGAAATGGGGGAGGGGAAGGGGGTTCTGAAATAAATAGGGAGAGAGTGGGAGGCGGAAAGAAGATGGATAGAGGAGAAGATAGGTGGAGAGGAGACAGACCGGTCAAAGAGGCGGGGATGGAGCCAGTAAAGGTGAGTGTAGGTGGGGAGGTAAGGAGGAGATAGGTCAGTCCAGGGAGGACGAACAGGTCAAGGGGGCGGGATGAGGTTAGTAGGTAGGAGATGGGGGTGGGGCTTGAGGTGGGAGGAGGGGATAGGCGGGAGGAAGGACAGGTTAGGGAGACGGGGACGAGCTGGGCTGGTTTTGGGATGCGGTAGGGGGAGGGGAGATTTTGAAGCTTGTGAAGTCCACATTGATACCATTGGACTGCAGGGTTCCCAAGCGGAATATGAGTTACTGTTCCTGCAACCTTCGAGTGGCATCGTTGTGGCACTGCAGGAGGCCCAGGATGGACATGTCGTCTGCAGAATGGGAGGGGGAGTTGAAATGGTTTGCAACTGGGAGGTGCAGTTGTTTAGTGCGAACCGAGCGTAGGTGTTCTGCAAAGCGGTCCCCAAGCCTCCGCTTGGTTTCCCCGATGTAGAGGAGGCCACAATGGGAACAGCGGATGTGGTATACCACATTAGCCGATGTGCATCTGCTTGATGTGGAAAGTCTTCTTGGGGCCTGGGATGGGGGTGACGGGGGAGGTGTAGGGGCAGGTCTAGCACTTCCTGCGGTTGCAGGGAAAAGTGCCGGGTGAGGTGGGGCTGGAGGGGAGTGGGGAGCGGACAAGGGAGTCACGGAGAGAGTCGTCCTTCCAGAAAGCAGATAAGGGTGGGGAGGGAAAAATGTCTTTGATGGTGGGGTTGGATTGCAGATGGCGGAAGTGTCGGAGGATGATGCGTTGGATCCGGAGGTTGGTGGGGTGGTACGTGACGATGAAGGGGATTCTGTTTTGGTTGTTATTGCGGGGACGGGGTGTGAGGGCTGAGTTGTGGGAAATGCGGGAGACACGGTCGAGGGCATTCTCGACCACTGAGGGGTGGAAGTTGCGGTCCTTGAAAAAGGAGGACATCTGAGATGTACTTCAGAAGCTTCAAAATCTCCCGTCCCCCTACCGCATCCCAAAACAGTCCTTCCTCCCACCTATCCCCTCCTCCCACCTCAAGCCCCACCCCCATCTCCTACCTACTAACCTCATCCCGCCCCCTTGACCTGTACGTCCTCCCTGGACTGACCTATCTCCTCCCTACCTCCCCACCTACACTCACCTTTACTGGCTCCATCCGCGCCTCTTTGACCGGTCTGTCTCCTCTTCACCTGTCTTCTCCTCTATCCATCTTCTATCCACCTCCCCCTCTCTCCCTATTTATTTCAGAACCCCCTTCCCCTCCCCCATTTCTGAAGAAGGGTCTAGGCCCGAAACATCAGCCTTCCTGCTCCTCTGATGCTGCTTGGCCTGCTGCGTTCATCCAGCTCTACACCTTGTTATCTGAGTTTCCAGTTGCCTGCCATTTCACTTTATTCCTTGGAAAACACATCAGTCTCAGGCTTGCTGCAATGCTCCAGCGAAGCTTAGCGTAAGCTGGAAGAACAACACCTCATTTTACACTTGGAAGCTCTACAGCTTCCTGGGCTCAACATTGAGTTCAACATCTTTAGGGCTTGAGCTTCTCCCATTTCCTTGCCCCAACCTCCACACACCAGTCCTTGATATCATATGGTCTGCTATTACACACTATCTATTGTTAGCCACTAACAATCCCCATTAATAGCTATTCATCCTCCTAGTCTAATTGTTAACCATATCTTTGTCTGTCCAACTGTCTTTCTGTCTCTTTGGCCTCTATCCACACCTGTTGTTTACTCCTTACTGCCCTCCCCCACTCTATCTTTTGCATAAAAACCAACATTTTCCTAGCTACCCTCAGTTCTGAAGAAAGGTCACTGGACCCAAAATGTTACCTCTGATTTCTTTCCACAGATGCTGCCAGACCTGCTGAGCTTTTCCAGCAACTTTGTTTTTGTTCCGCAGTTCTTTTGTTTTTTTCATTTGGTGGTAGATGCTGTCGGGTACTATACCCATAGTGCTGTTGGGATGAGATTTCCAGGGTTTTGACTCAGTTGCAGAGAAGGAATAGTGATATAATTTCAAGTCAGGATAGTGTGGGGTTTGGAATTTTCAAATGGTAGTCTTTTGTCCCCTTGCCCTTCTAGCTGGTAGAAGTTGCGGGTTTGGAAAGTGCTGTTAGTCGAGCCTTAGTGGCTCATTGTAGTCCTATGTACAGTACACACTGCTGCCACTGTGCATCTGTGATGGTCAGAGTGAAAGGTTAAGGTGCTGGATTTGCTGTCAATCAACTCGACTTTGTCCTGGATTGTGTTGTGCTATTTCATTGTTGCACTCATTAGCCAAGTGGAGAGTATCCATCACATGCCAGATTTGTGACTTATAGATGGTGGACAGATTTTGGGAATCGGTAGATGAGTAACACATTGCAGAGTTTCCAACTTCTGATCATACAACGTATGAGCAGCAGTAGAACATTTGGCTTATTAAGCCTACACTGCTTTTTAATTAGATCATAGCTGATCTAATTATGCCCTATCTAGTGTGTCTCCCATAATCATTAACTCTGTGTCAGTCAAAAATCTAACTCAGCCTTGAATATAATTAATGGCCCAGCCTTCACCGTTCTCTGTGAAATACAATTCCAAAGACTACTGATTCTCTGAGTCAATAAATTCCTCCTCATCTCTTTCTAAAATGGTTGACAACTTTTTAAAAACTGTCCTTCCTAGTTCCAGAGTCCTCCAAGAGAGGAAACATCCTTCCAGTATTTACCCTGTCAAATCCACTCAGAATCTTGAATACTTCATGAAGATTGCCTTTCATTCTTCTTAATTCCAATGAAAGTAATGCCAACCTTTCTTTATAGGACAAACTCTTCATCCCCAGAAACCAGCCTAGGAGACCTTCTCTGACCTGTTCCCAATACAAGTGTATCCCTCGATAAGTAGATTTTTAAAAGGAATGTCATGTTTAACCAAATGAACTGGAGCTTTTCTGAAAAGGTAACAGGAAGAATCAATGAGGATAATGTGGTCGGTGTGATGTACATCGACTTCCAGAAGGTGTTTGGCACAGTGCTACATAACAGACATGTGAGCAAAGTTATAGGTCATTGAATACAAGGATAGTGGCAATGTAGATAAAAACTTATCTGAGTGATTGATTATAAAGTATAACATAAGGGGTACAAATCTAAAGGAGGCATAGATATATAAGGACCTGGGTACATGTGTACATATCATTAAAGGTGGCAGGACAGTTGTAGAAAGCTGTTAATAAAGTTAATACAATATTTGGGATGTTAATAATGGGGGAATAGAGTACAAGAACAAGGAGGTGGTGCTGAACTTGTATAAAATGCTTATTCAACTTCAGCTGCCACACTTTCAGAAGAATGTGAATGCATTGGAGAGAGTGTAGAAGAGATTTACAAGCAGCACTGAAGGGTCACTGGCATTAAAACTTTAACTCTGATTTCTCTCTACAGAAGCTGCCAGACCTACTGAGTTTGTCCATTAATTTCTCTTTTTGTTTTTGTTACTAAGAAATGGTTCCTGCTTGTAAAATGATCACGACTAATGAGGGCACAGATTTAAAGTAACTTGCAGCAGAAGCAAGAACAATGGGAAGTAAGCTTTTCCAGATGAGTGGTTTGGGTCCAAAGATGTGCTGTCTGAAGTCTGGTGGAGGCAGGTTCATTCGAAGCGTTCAAGAGAATATTGGTTGTTTAATCAAATAGAAACATTCAGCAAGGGTATGGGGGAAAGGCAGAACAATGGCACCAAGTCATTGTGCTCATTTGGAGAACTAGTGCAGAGACAACGGGCCAGGTTGCCTCCTTCTGCATTATAATGTTTAAATCTGCTGGGCCAGCAGCAGTTACACACATGATATTGATAACATTCAGAACTTGAAACTTAGATTAAAACACAGACAATGTTAACAGCATTGTAACTTCTAACACCTTGTGTGCACTTTAGTACATTAAAGCATTGTACTAAGATTTGTAACAATAATTTGTAACAATTTTGTAGCCATTGCTTATAAATTATTGTTGCTGTAGACTTAATAAAGGACACAGTTACCTGTACAGGAAATTTTTCCATTCACGCAGGTACTGTAACAAAAAAAAAACAGTTTAAGAATCATAGTTTCAGACTCCACTACAACATTCCTCTAGTTTCTTTTACTAGCCTCCAATTGAGCAAAGCTTTTGAAGCCCTAAATAATGGCTCACAATTATCTTTTCAAATTCCCTTTGAAAAGAAAGAAGTATAAACAAATCAAAATAATAAAAATACCTTGCTGCTTAATAGCATTGCAGAATTTATTTTGGCAAGTGTAAAGGTAGAGTTTAATGAAGATGTAGAAAGTTTTGAAAGTGTAAGCTGTGATGTCACTGTGACTTTAGTAATCATGTATTTGTATTCTGCTAAGACATTGGGTACTATATCCTATGCAGCATGCTGCTCTGTCACCTGACCATCATGTACAGTGCATGAATAGAGGTTGTTTAACAATAGCATCTCAATCTGGCCTGAACTTCCATAAAAACTCAAAGAAGCCACATTAGGATATGTTACAACAGCAAGTATACATCAGTAAAGTATATTGATACATAAGAGCTGACCAACAATTTTTTAATGAGAATATGACAACGTTTAAGATTCTTGACACTTCTGTCCGATCACCTACATTTAATAAGGTTTCAAAGAACTCCATTAGGGTAGATATAAATTGATATGCGTTCAAATTATTGAGGTAATGAGCATCTATTGAATTACTTCCCTGACTGCTTATTTTATAAAGTTCCAACATCATTTAAACATTACATTGTTCCACAAGCTCCACAATCAACTTCATTAAATTTTCAATATTGTATTAAGATTAACAAGAGCTATCAATTTATTATCGTAAACATATCTGTATAAATATTGTACCAATTACTGCAGTCATTGCTTTGTTCACCGGGTTCCAGTATTTTTCCATTATAATAACAAGTGCAACCAGACATGTTCACACACTTCATTTTGTTTTCATCCAGGTAAGGAGCATTCTCTGGACAGTTTGCATAACAACCTACATTTAACAGAAATTAACAAGATCAGTGTGGTGCGCCACCACCACTGTTTTATAATCCGAGATGACCATAAGAAAACCCGCTAATCAGATCAACTTGAAATTAAATAAATAACAGATCCTTTTGAGTAAACTGGACTATTTTCTGTTTCAGATGCTGGCTCAGCTGCTGTATGTCTCCAGCTTTCAAATCTGAATTATATCCACATTTACTGGTTGTTACATATGTTATTAAAAGCTTTCAAAGTTTTCTCAAACACTGTTTTGCCCACAAATTTTTTTGAAAATAAATCTTCAGTTCTACATTGTTTGAAAAAATACCCTATATTATGCATAATGCACTGGACATTTGGAAATATGGGCTACTGATAGCCAATGTGTATGATTAATAAGTGAGTAAAATTTTCCACATTTGTTGAGCATGAATTAACATATTGTATCTTTAGATAAAATTAACTTATGTATTTTGTCAACCACCACAGTGGTTTCAATCCCTGGGCTCTTACCAAATATAGCTGATACCAATGGCAGCTGATTGGTTCTTTGATTACCCAGTCTGCTGTGTGATTAAAATACTGTGCAAGGAAGGACTGCTATTGTTGTGTGGTGAAAAGCACCTTTAATAGGATTCTAGCCTGCCTAGTTTTTTGGCCTTCTGAGACATCAAGTTATTGAAATTAAGAAATAAGGTGGTTTCCACAAGAAATTTCAGTGTGCCAGTGGCCATAATTATACTTTGCTCATCCCTCACCTTCTCGGTGGCCACATTTCCCATGCCCTGTGTGGATTCAGTTGAAAAGAATTCACTATCTTCGAGAGAGCTCAAACAGGGACCTCTGCCATTTGGGCAAGTGATGAAATGTTAGATTTCCAAGCTGCATGCGTAATTCCACGTGGAGATCTGGTTGATACCAACTGCAGTAATAGTATAAGCTACTATTAGTACGTGCAGTATTAGCTGCTGTTTTCTAGAATGCTAAGTGTGATTTTAAGAACATTCTTGGTTTGTTTCTCAGCTCTTTGCGAAGGGGAATGTTGGAAATGTAAAAGCGTTGACCATGTGCAAGGCGGTTTTCATTTTGTATCAAATGAGAAATTTAGCTTTCAAATAAATCAACCACTGGGACATTGCTAATTTGAAAGGAAAACAGATTGGAAATATTATTGAGTCATGCAAAAAGTTACTTCAGATAAACCTTCATTCATAGATGCAGAGAAAATGTCAGGATCCTAGCATAAAATACACATGGAAATTAACTTTCAAAGCTGATGTCCCGTATACCTTTCTGTAAAGGAAATGTGAAATATCACCTTTCTTATCACCAATGGGTTTTAGGTTTCTCTACATGCTGGTCTTAAAAGAATAGGATTTTGAAAATACTGAGTGTTTTTTGTACACCAAAGCAGTGGTATAGAATACATTTGTTGCCAAATAGCAAAACCCTCAGATATGATCAATCAAGCATTAAATGCAAAAAAATAAAGAGACTAGTAGGAGCTTGTTAACTAATTGACTCACACATACCTCTTTCATTAGTATATAGAGAAGAGAAAGGACAGGCAATCCTCAGCCATTGGCGAAACTCCTGGCCCTAATCTATATCCAGATTGTGATTAAAGTCTGAGTTTCCTGATGGTTTTCTAAATGCTAGTGTCTCTGCTCACCACAAACAAAGATATCAGTGGAAATGTGTTGGGTGGGAGTAGAGAGGGATGGCAAGGTTGAGGACATGCAAGCCTTAGAGTTCCTGTGCTTTTGGTCTCCCAGAGGGCTGTACGATTTCTGGTGCCCAGTGAAAGTTTTGGATTGGCCAATTGATTTAATATGGGGATGCTTCAGATCTTCAATTTGGATTTGAAGTCTGGATCCTTGAGACAGTTCCCGCATGAAGTTTTCTGTATGTGCCTGACAGTCCTCCCGGCCTGAGTATTAATGCCACAATTTCACAATCTGCTGCATAAGGTGAGCACCTCCTGAGGGCTGGCCAATTAGACGACCATTCCCCAAAGCCACTTACTTTAGCTTGGTCAGCAATAGAAATCACTAGCTATTTCACCATTGAGATGAAATGGAGCAAGGATTGCTGCCTCATGGGGACTTTTTCATTGCGTTGTGTAATGTGAATGAAGAATAAAGGTTCTTAGCCTTAGCTTTAAACTTTTGGATAATATCATAGAGAATAGCCATTGAACAATAAAATAAAACATAGACTAGAGTTCAAACACAACCTTCAAGAATTGCAGAGTACTTCTTTCCAATGCTATGTTCTGAGCATGTTTTTGTTGTTAATGTTCCACATGGCTGATAGTGCCAACTCCATTCACCAGGTGTGTTATAGTAATCACAATACACAGCTGCAATGTAAAATGGAAATATGTAAGCAGTAATATTGATTCAGTCTGAAATATAATTGCAATTCATATAATCTGTATAACGTATCATCAAAACATGCAAGGAAGTCATCACTGTATTTTTATACGTTGAAACAAATCACAAGCAATTATAAGTTATGACTCAGACTTCACTCAGATATTCTCTGTTACAAAACATTAAATTCAACACCATCATTGATAGTACAATTAAATAACAGATGTGATAGCTGGTGTTCCATCATTGCACAGTTAACAGTTTTGTTTTACTTACGACATCGTTCTGGTGTTCTCCAGTCAACACAAACACCAGCTTTATTACAAGCTTCTGCATACACTGCTACAGCGGTACAGAAACCCAGGTATTTCCCTTCCAAATCACAGGCACAAGCCTCCTGGACACAGGCATCATAGAATGGAGTTGGGTCAACCTGAATAACAAATGCCAGTTTAATATATAAACAGGAACAAAGGATGAATTAAAACAAGTATTGTAGTATTTGCAGGAATGGAGAGAAAATCCAAAGTCTGCTGTGCTTTTTTTAAATTTAGTTGAGCTAGGTGGGAGACATATTGCAATAAACAGAGATATGCTTGCATGGTGCTGGCCTTGGTTCCTTGATGGCACTGAGGTCTCTCAGTGAAGAGGTTGTGTGTTCAAATCCATTCCAGTGACCTGAGTACATAAGCAGAGCTGACACTGTGATGCAGTCCTGGGAGATACTACATTGTACAGAGTTTTGGATGAACATATTGAGACTTTTTATTCACTTTCAGGTGGACTTAAAAGATTGCATGACATTATTTGAAGAAAAGTAGATGAATTCTGTTATGGTTTCAGATACTGTTTATCTCTGAATGTATATCATTAAGGAGAAACAGAATATCAGGTAGTTTATCTTATTTCTGTAGCATTAAGCTATTTTGAAATAATGAACAGTTTTGACTTGATTAAGTAAATAAGGAATTAAATTATATTCCATTTAATTGTGCTAGTTGTTAGGAAACAAGCCGTATGGCCCAAATCAAAAGAAAAGTCAGAGGTTTATGGTTTTGTTACCATTTTATGGTTTAGGCTAATGTGAATTTAGGCGAATACATGAGAATGTTTTGAGATAAGAGAATTTTATTCAAGAACACAACTATGTTTTAGAGTAGTTTGGTTTTCTAAATTGGAATGTGTGCCAGGACTATGGGGTACATATATATTTTGGAAATAGGTTCTGAATTAAGATTTCAGTCTTTTAGTTGCTTTGACCTTTTCAAATGTTTTAGTTGGGTCATTTAGGGTGATGGTTAATAAGTAGGAGGTGACACTTCATTCTCATAGGCAGACACATATTGAATTCAAATTGTTGCCACCTTATCTAGCTAAAGAACTGTGGCATTGGTAAGCTAAGAGGTACAAGCAGTCATAAAAGAATGTATCAAAGAATATATCAGGAGACAGTAGGAAAATGTCAATAAGATGATCATTGCTTTTAAAGAAACCAATCAGGAATTGGGCATACACCACCTAAACAATCCAAAACTGGGCACAGTTTTAATTATTCAATTAATAATTCAATTAAAGGTCAGGATATCTTTGATCATGCACAGGGTGTAGTGGTTAGTAAGGGTTACCAAGACCTGTTTCAATGCACAATAAGGAAGATTGGGATAAAAGAATTTCTTTAAAATAACAGAAAATGAGATCTGTGTTTAGTCAATATGTGTCACGAACTGGCTTCCCAAAGTGAATGAACTGAAAATTATTGTTTTTATTAAGTATAATTTCTTTTGTACTTGTTTTGATAGACTTAATAAATTCTATCAAACTTGCAAATACATATTTGTACTTGAAAAAGGTCTAGTAACCAATCAGGAGTAGTCAACCTTTTAAATTGGCTCTATTAAATTCAGCATGTAATTATAATTGACTTGGGTCTTTCCACTAAAGGTAAAGTGCACTGTAAATTCTTACACAATCTTGCTCTGTCTAAATTTGTGACTGTGTTTTCCTGCCTTACAAAAATGATTAGATAGCTGTTCTGTGGAGAACTATAGAGATACAAGTGTTTATTTCTTAATGTAAAAGACCAGTCTTAAAGGAGTTTTATGCAAGTGTTTGAATCAATACTTAAGCTGCCAAGTGTAGTGGTCATTGTGTTCGATCACCATTGGAAATGACATGGATCCTTTCAGGAGAGTTACCTTTCCATGGCATGCTTGAAACACAACATTTTTAATTATGCCACACTTCCTGTGTGCCCATGCTAAACAATAAGGGTTTCTATCACATGGTGATGTTTGATTGACTGTATCTGAGCAGGCCATAGATTTCCAACTATTTCCAAATTCCACTGCGCTGGTCACCAAGGAGTTGCTTTTTGTTGTCAGATCATCTGAAACATCATCATTGAAATTCCCACACAGACCACACACATTGTTCTGTAAAAAAAAACAAGATAATAGGGAAACAAAAACCTTGTAGCATTATCAAATTCACATGAAAAAAGATGCACACTTTCTTCAGAGCACTATATTTTAAAAAATCCAATATTGTATGCTGATTTAATTTAAAATTTACAAACAGCCAGTGTATACAGTTTAGAAACAAATTACTGCAGATGCTGGAATTTGTACTGAAAACAAAAAATGCTGGATATCACAGCGGGTCAGGTGGTATCCATGGAGAGAAAGCAAGCTAACGTTTCGAGTCTAGATGACTCTTCATCAGAGCTCTAATTGCAAACAGAAACATCCATTTTAAAAGTTTACACAAAACTGTAGAATCACCTTTAATAAAATGTTATACATTATTGTAAAAGACAAGATGTAAAATAAACTTGTGAAGCTGTTGTTTATTGATTAAATTACCCCATTATATTTTCTGCTATGATCAAAAGGAACAAGTGTGAATCTGATGATCTTTAACCATACTTACTTTCCATCTTGAATCCAGTGTGATTGAAAACCTTGTGCTTTTGTCCCATATCACGGTGATTCCATGAGAAAATTTCAGGATCAAATACAGCCCAACGGTGTGGTGAGAATAAAACTCATTTGGGCACTGGGTTTGATTTGTAAACTTCTCAATTGTTTCCACATGGTTATCAGTTAGAATGAGTTCCTTACCCTGTAAGAGTACATATGAAAACAAAATACTATAGAAGGTGTCTGAGTGATTTATGTTCGCAGTTCAGCTACTGTGAACACATATTTAAAGTCTCATTCCAAAACAGAAAGAAACAAATTAAAATTAGAGGAAATTAGTCACCTCAAATAAAATCCTGATATTTCTTGAACAAGTCATTCCCCTTTCACAACAGGGAACACTTTCAATCAGTATTTGGAATGTGCCTTTTCGACGATTACATTGGTCCTGAGAACAAAACAATGAAATCAAGATTAGATTACATAGCACAAAACGAATAATACTCATTCAGTTTGTATTTATTAATCCCTAGCACAGTGATGTCTCAAGAAACACAAAGCTCTGATATAACTAATGCTTTTCTATTATCTGGCTTGCATGATATTTTTAATGATGTGTGACTGCAGTACCATTGAAATAGACCCCAAATGACAGGGATTATTTTATAGAATCCCCACAGTATGGAAACAGGCCATTTCGTCCAACAAGTCCAGAACAACCCTCTAAAGTGCATCCCACCCAGACCCATCCCTTACTCTATCCTGTAACCCTGCATTTCCATGGATAATGCACCGGACATACACATCCCTGAACACTATGGGTAATTTACCATGGCCAATCCACCTAGCCTGCACATCTTTGGACTGTGGGAGGAAACCAGAGCACCTAGCGGAAATACACACAGACACAGGGAGAACATGCAAACTCCACACAGACAGTCGCCCGAGGCTGGAATTGAACCCAGGTCCAGGTGCTGTGAGGCAGAAGTGCTAACCACTGAGCCACTGTGCTGCTCCTTTCTGTAATCTAGGCCACAGGAAAGCATTTTTGTGTTTCAGTACAAGTTTACTTCTGCATACACATGATTAGTGTGTGAATGCTGAGCTGATTTTGATGTTTTTGCCCGTGGCAGTTACATTGGTGCGTTATTTTAACATTTTGAGCTTATTCACACCTCAACGAAAATATATTCACAGTTTCCATCGTAGACATATCTTCTTCCATCAAAAGTTACATAGTGGCCGTCACCATAAACTTCACAGGTCTTCGGGCATTCCTTACGAGTACAATTCCATGTCCCTCCCTGGCATGTGCTGCAATATTATGAGCACAGTGCAATGATATTATTTAGTGACACAAATACTTTTTAGTATATAATTGTACTTTGAATTAACATTTGTTTTATCTTACCATTTATTACAATCTCTTTGAATTTCTCTGCCATTTCTGTAAAATTCACCACTAAATAAACAAGAACAGTTTTCATGATGAATGCAGTTTCCATCATTATCTTCCACAAGACCAGATGGACAGACACAGCCAGGAACGCATGGACTCTGATCATGGAAAAGATCAAAACATCACTGTTTGCTTTGAAGTGTTTTCACTGAGGTTTTTCACTGAGGTGCCAGCTAATGCAGTTTTTAACATCTACTTAAATCTTTGCCTCATAACATGCTTGGCCCCAAATGATTAGAACTTCAAGCCTCCGTACTGAGTTTAGTAATCATAGGTCATCCGAACACAATGGCCATATTTGTCATCGTTAGTGAGTTATATGTATGATTTACACAGCAACG